TTTATAGGAGTTTTCTTTCAAAGTATTTAACTCTTGTACGCTGTTTTTTTCAATGCATTTATTCATCAAACGTAATGTGAATGCCTAGTATGTAGCAGACATATTCTACTATCTTTCAGGACAATCCATCCTTAAAACTTCCTATTTACCTGACTAACCTAAGCAATTTGAGAAATTTAAAATTGAAGTATTAGGACTTAATTTCAGTTAAAGTCATTGCTCACTCCTTTCAAACAAAAGCATTTCTGAAGGTAGAAAATTATAAAAGATGACTTTAACTGCCCTTTTAAAATTTGTAACAGTATTAATTATTAATATTAAACATTGAAAATACCTGATTCTCACACAGTGTATAAATCTGAATATTGAACAAATGAGGCATACCTATTCATTCGAGTCCTGAGTTTCCCTTGCTTTGAAGTTATGTGAAAATCAAAGTAAGAATTATTTGGTTTTAAAAATTTTTTCATTTCAACCTTCTTTTTCTATAGTACTTTTAAGAACTGAAACTTATATAAATGCCAATGATATGACTAGAACTTCCATGGACCTATTGTATATGCCCTATTTCTCTTAATGTAAGGCAGCATTAATTTTGTGATGTCCCATTATTTTGCTTATCAATGACATAATTTTTCAGTGCTGCCCATTATAGTTGAAAGAAATCATGAATAAAAGGTGCCATTCCAGTGTTAGTGATGTTAAAATGTGGGAAAATGAGCACCCTAGCATCATTGAAATACAATGTTATCTCTAGTCTTTAAAATAAACCTCAAAGTAGATATAATTGTATTATGTTGCTTAATTAAAATGTCTTTGTTAATCAATAGTAATAATTACATTATGTAACAATCATTGAGCTATTATTTGCATTAGGAACTGTTCCATATACTTTGTACAGAGTCTCATTTAAGCATCACAGTGATGTCCTATGAGATTGCTACTACTTTTTTTTTGCCTATTTAAGAGGAAATTGAGGTACAGAAGGGCTAAATGATAGCTAATAATTGATAGAGCTTAAAGTAGGATGCTAACCCAAGATGAACTGACTCTAAAAACCAAGCTCTTTCTACTGAAATAGGCTGCTCTTTTATTAATCTAGTGAGGAATAGCAGCTAATAAATATTGTATTTTCTTCACAAGAAAATTAAGTATTTGTTTTGAAGGTGGAAGAATACATGCTGTTTAATAATTATAATTACATGAATCATTGTATATTTTAAGATAGTGCACTACAATTTCCTAAAATTCTCTCTCACTTTCATAGGACTGCTCTCCATTTGGCCTGTGCCAATGGCCATCCAGAAGTAGTTACTATCTTGGTGGACAGAAAATGCAAGCTCAATGTCCCCGACAGTGAAAAAAGGACAGCTCTGATAAAGGTATATAGCAGCCATCTAGTGCAGCATGAGATAGATTTCATTTCAATACACATAATAAAAACAAATTTATTTCATTTAAAAGTAACTAGCTGGTGGAATCTTTGGAATGTTTCTTTTGAACTCTTGGAATTTATGGTCTATTTCTTGATCCAATACTGATAGGCCGTACAATGCCAGGAAGAGGAGTGTGCCACCATTCTGTTAGAACATGGTGCCGATCCGAATCACAGTGACATCTATGGCAACACAGCTCTTCACTATGCTGTCTATCACGAGAACACATCGATCACAGGAAAACTCCTTTCACGAGGCGCAAATATAGAAGCCGTAAACAAGGTATAGATCAATGAACTTTATTTGAAAAATATTCAACATTGACATATGTAACTATCAATTTTCTGTATTTGGAAGCTCAAACATTCCCTGAATGAAAATATTTTGAAATGCCTTAATTGTCTTAAGATTTTACTTAAAATGTTTATACATTTAAAGAAGCATTAGAGGATGCAGTTTTCTTTTATACATTCATGGTTAATATTTGTGAAAACCCTGCGTTTGTTAAAGGAAAGCTTGTTAAGTTTTTTTCAAACAAGTGTTTTTTTCTTTTTTCCTAATTAGTATAAAACAACCCAGGGAAGCCAAATTTGCCCTGGAAATAAGCTTTATCTTAAAATTCATAACTAAAGCATTATACAGTAAATGGAATTCTGGCTGCTGTTGACAAGTTCCTTAACAATGTAATTTCTATCAAAGTGACTTATCTCTAACTGGCAAGTCTTAAGAGAGAGAAATGGAAAGGGAAAAAGAGAACAATCAGAAATATGCAGGCCAGTTTGGAAATTAGGTAATTTGTGGAAAATACAATGAAGAGGTATTCCGTGTGTTTACTTATTTGTTCCCAGTTTATATGTTTAGAAAATGTACTCTTCAGTTTTGTGGAAAATAATTCCTAGTTTGGGAAAGAGTGTTAGCGAATTGTAAACTTGCCCAGAAATCAATTTTAGGGGGACTCTGAGGAAAGCAGATTGGCAGTGAATAGGTGGTGATGATATGGGAAGACTTCAGGAGAGGGAAGAATAAGTACTTAACTGACTTCTTATCCTACTCTTGCAGAAACAGCCACTTAGACAAGACTCTACTAGAATTTCTTGTTGGGAAGGTGGGAGATATGGAACTTATAAATAACAAAATCAAATTGTGTTTTGAGTTTCTTAGTCCCTGTTCTAACCCTATGCAGCAAAATTAAATGGAGTTTTCAGTAAATGACTCCATGTCTTACTATTTCCTGTTTTTGTCCAGATCTCCAAATGATAAAGGGACTTGGCTATGTGAGAGAGACATGACACTGAAGTGATTGTCTGCTCCACTAGTTCTCAGCTAGAGCTGTGTATCACGGTGACCTGGGAAAATTTTTTTAACAACCTAGAAATCTAGGCTTAGCCTTGGAGATTTTGATTTAGTAAATCTAAGAAGGCATGGGTATATATATTTAAACAGATTCCCTCAAAGCTGGGTGCAGAAGTGTCTGCCTGCTGTCCCAGCTACTCTGGAGGGTTGAGGCAGGGGGATCACTTGAGCCCAGGAGTTTGTGTCCACCTGTGCAACATAGTGAGACTCTCCCTCTAACCACTAGAAATACTTTTCTCGAGATTCTGATGCATTCCTATTTAAGAACCACTGAATAAATATACAAATTCCAATATTTCAGAAACTTAAGAAGTCTCCAGAAGAATTGGAGTTTGATAGTTGCTACTTCCTTCACATCTCTCCTTTCTAATAATATTAG